GTCACGAAAAAAGACAAAAAGAAAAAAATAAATAAATAAATAAAAATAAAGTTTATGTTTAACAACAAAGAGCCAAAAATACCCAAGAAAGCTGCAGAAGCATAATAAAGCCACTTGCCCTAAGAAATATCTAGAATTACAACAAAACTATAGAGGTTGGGATGGATTTTGGCTCAGGAATAGAAAAACTGACCAGGAAAACATGTATGGAAACTCTATCATGCAGCTGCTGCTCAGGTCTGTAGAAAAGGGCAGAATGAACAGTCCAGACAGCTTGATGTTCACGTAAAGAAAAATGACATTGGCGTTTTCCCTCCACCCTCCCCCACCTCACACCACAAACAAACATCAACTCCAGGTGAATTATAAAGACTCACATATGAAACAAAAAGTATGTAATCTGTAGAGAAAAATGAAGGATAATATCATTATCTTGTGAAAGGATTTATTAAACTAAACAGAATACAAACCATAAAAGAAACGATCAATAAATTCAATGTATCACAGCTGAGAACTTGTGTTCATCAGCAGGCACCGCAACGAGCAGGAAGCCCAAACCGGACCGGGATATTTACACCGCATCTGACAGAGGCTTCATTTCCAGAATATACAAGGAAATCTTGCAAACTGATAAGTGCAAGACAAATGCCAAGGAAAAAAATACAAAAAGAGTTAACTAAAGGGAAGACCCAAATGCCCAGTAAACATACAGAAAGATCAATCTCTTGAGGTACCAGAGAAATATGAATTCAAACCAGAAGAAACTTTCACATCCACCAGCTTCTCAGACAGTCGCTGTCTTACACATCTGGTGCTGACAAGGACGTGTGGCCAAGGGCACAGGCACTGCTGTGGCAGGAGCTCCGTCCAGGACCACGACGCGCCCGTGTGCCTGCAAAGGTGCTGGACACCGTGCACAGGTGCCCAGCCACGTGGCTGTGATGGCACAAGACAGGAACCACCTAGGTGCCCCCAGACACGGACCAGGCGTTGATGCCATGGTGTCCTTGTGTAACCGGATACAGTGCAGCAGGAGAAATAAAAAATGACAGCGGCATGCAATGCCAAGAGTCCGGGGAGCAAGATGCAGAAAAGCAGCAAATCCCATACGAACGCACATGGCACGATCCCACTCGGGAAAGCTCAAAGCTACGCAAAACTCTGTGACATACCATCTAGGGACAGAAACACATAGAAGTAAAGCAATGAAGTAAAGCAAGTCGTGATAAATGCACAAGTCAGGGCAAGGAGGGAAGGGGACAAGAGGGGAAAGGGTGGATGGCTGGGGTGGCCATGTCACCGATCTCTAAAACAGTATACATGAATTCTGCATGTGTGAACCACATGCACACGTGCACTGCATACATTCAACATCCTTGAAAACACACTTCTAAACATTAAGTTGATAAAGCAGCTCACACCATCCCTGTGTAAGGCCCCTGATGGCCGCCTGTGCACACGGAAGGGGAAGGAAGCAAGTGTGTGACAGGACCACCCACCCACCCTAGCCTGGCCACTCTGGGACAAGCTCATCCAGATCTCCCTGGCTGTCTCCTGGGACTCCTTCTTTCAGCCCCACTAAACGTCACCTCTCCAAGGGGCCCTCCTTCACCTCCCTGGCTCTAACAGCCCATCCCTCCTGGGCCCAGTCAGTCCTAGTCTGTCTCCTCATTTCCTTGCCAGCAGGTAAGGAAGAAGATCTCAGAAACATCTCACTGACAAAATGTGAGTCCCCTAAAGGCACAGAGCTGTTTTCTCCACACTGTGCCCCTGAAACCAAGAACGTTGCCTGGCACACAGGGGAGGCTGGGTAAGTGTTCCCAGCAGGAAGAAGAAGGAGGTGGTCAGAGAGGGAGATCAGGCCAGCCAGGCACACCCAGTGGGAAGGACAAATGGGACAGGGGACCATCCTAGAGGACAGCACCTGGACCCCAGCAACATCCCCTCCCTGGGCCTGGCCTGGGAGGTGCTAGTGGCGATAGCATGGTGAAGAAAGTGGAGTGCTATGATTGTCTTGCTGTGACCGTCTGGACCCACATCCTCCCTGCCACTACCATATCCCAGCACAGGNCCAGAGAAATATGAATTCAAACCAGAAGAAACTTTCACATCCACCAGCTTCTCAGACAGTCGCTGTCTTACACATCTGGTGCTGACAAGGACGTGTGGCCAAGGGCACAGGCACTGCTGTGGCAGGAGCTCCGTCCAGGACCACGACGCGCCCGTGTGCCTGCAAAGGTGCTGGACACCGTGCACAGGTGCCCAGCCACGTGGCTGTGATGGCACAAGACAGGAACCACCTAGGTGCCCCCAGACACGGACCAGGCGTTGATGCCATGGTGTCCTTGTGTAACCGGATACAGTGCAGCAGGAGAAATAAAAAATGACAGCGGCATGCAATGCCAAGAGTCCGGGGAGCAAGATGCAGAAAAGCAGCAAATCCCATACGAACGCACATGGCACGATCCCACTCGGGAAAGCTCAAAGCTACGCAAAACTCTGTGACATACCATCTAGGGACAGAAACACATAGAAGTAAAGCAATGAAGTAAAGCAAGTCGTGATAAATGCACAAGTCAGGGCAAGGAGGGAAGGGGACAAGAGGGGAAAGGGTGGATGGCTGGGGTGGCCATGTCACCGATCTCTAAAACAGTATACATGAATTCTGCATGTGTGAACCACATGCACACGTGCACTGCATACATTCAACATCCTTGAAAACACACTTCTAAACATTAAGTTGATAAAGCAGCTCACACCATCCCTGTGTAAGGCCCCTGATGGCCGCCTGTGCACACGGAAGGGGAAGGAAGCAAGTGTGTGACAGGACCACCCACCCACCCTAGCCTGGCCACTCTGGGACAAGCTCATCCAGATCTCCCTGGCTGTCTCCTGGGGCTCCTTCTTTCAGCCCCACTAAACGTCACCTCTCCAAGGGGCCCTCCTTCACCTCCCTGGCTCTAACAGCCCATCCCTCCTGGGCCCAGTCAGTCCTAGTCTGTCTCCTCATTTCCTTGCCAGCAGGTAAGGAAGAAGATCTCAGAAACATCTCACTGACAAAATGTGAGTCCCCTAAAGGCACAGAGCTGTTTTCTCCACACTGTGCCCCTGAAACCAAGAACGTTGCCTGGCACACAGGGGAGGCTGGGTAAGTGTTCCCAGCAGGAAGAAGAAGGAGGTGGTCAGAGAGGGAGATCAGGCCAGCCAGGCACACCCAGTGGGAAGGACAAATGGGACAGGGGACCCCTGGCACACAGGGGAGGCTGGGTAAGTGTTCCCAGCAGGAAGAAGAAGGAGGTGGTCAGAGTGGGAGACCAGGCCAGCCAGGCACACCCAGTGGGAAGGACAAATGGGACAGGGGACTATCCTAGAGGACAGCACCTGGACCCCAGCAACATCCCCTCCCTGGGCCTGGCCTGGGAGGTGCTAGTGGCGATAGCATGGTGAAGAAAGTGGAGTGCTATGATTGTCTTGCTGTGACCGTCTGGACCCACATCCTCCCTGCCACTACCATATCCCAGCACAGGTAAGGGAGTCACTGGCTCAGGGGTGGGAGACAAGCCTACGGCACTGGGGGCTGCCAAGAGCCAGTGATGGCCCTTTCACCAGCCTTGTTCTCTGAACAGCAGCACTGGGGAACCAGCCCTGGCCAAGAGCCAGGAAGAATGACAAGTGAAGAAGCTGGGCCCAGGCCTCAGGGAGTGGCAGAGGTAGAGTCCCTGCCTGCAGCATCTGCTAGCCTGAGCCAGAGGCCCAGCCCGGGGCAGAGAGAAGCAAGCAAAAAGCTTGGGGACCACAAATTCAATCCCCTTCCCCACTCCCAGAACGCTCCTCACAGAGGCTGCCCTGACCCAGATGCTGGGAGCCAGATGACAGAACTGGTGGCAGAGACGCCACCTCAAGGGCTTGGCCACCTGGAGCCTAGGATGCCTTCTGGGGCCGGATCTGCAGCCCAAGCTGACAGCAGAGGGGAGAGCAGGAAAGGGGCTGGGCAGGAGACCATGGCAGTCAGATGGCCAGGAAGGCCAAAGGGGGGACACCTGCAGATGGCGGCAGGTGGGCGAGGAAGCTCAGTAAAGTGGAAAGAGCAGAGGCTTGGCACCCAGAAATACCTAGATGTACACCTCAGTTCTGTCCTGCCCCATGGAACAGCCATGAAGGCTCGTTTATCACCCCTGCAGTCCTAATTTCCTCCTCTGCGTACTGCACCAAGTGCCACTTGCTGCACACTGTCATTCAGCAGGCCAGATGAGATGAGTCATTCACTCAGCCTTTCCCCAACACCCCAAGCGTCACTGACTAGGGGCTCGGTACTCTGAGCACCAGCTCCATGCCTGGTGTGAACTCAGACACATAGGTCTGCCCCTGCCACCGGGTATCCTCCTGATCCTTCCTCACCTGGGACCAGAATCACCCCCAGCTCAGGGCTCAGCAGTCATCTGTGGTGGTCTTGGGTCACAGGCAATGTTCTCAGAGCAACAGAACCAGTCTACCCTCCACCAGCACAACACAGCAAAGACCTCACTCACTACCATCCTTCCCACCTCCCCCGCCCCCATGGCCAACTGCTGTCTTTACCTAGGGGCTGACAGCCTTGTCTGGTGAGTCCTCAATAGAGCCATGGCTCCCCAGGCCACCTCTGCAATGATGGATCCATGACATCTTCTTACAGAGGCAGGGCCAGCAGCCACACCGCTGAGCTATAGAAAACAAGAAATCAGGGAGGGGAAAAGAGCAGGGTCAGCTCAGATTCAGGGTGCCCTGGGGCCCCGTGCCCACCCCAGGCCCCATGAGCCTGGTTCCGCTGCACCTGTTCCCAAGGCTACCCCAGGCTCCTTGCCAGTCCTGAGGTGACCCCCACCCAGCCCCTTCTAGGTGGCCTCCTGCTCGACAGCTCCCAGTGAGGGGACAGGGATACACAGCCCTGAAGAAGGTGTGCCCTGCCCCAGCCTGTAGGGCCCCCCAGCCCTCTGGCAATTTGGAGCCCCAAACTCTCTGGCTCTCCAACCTCCCTGCAAGCTTACGCCCGATTGGCTTCTTTGCATACAGGGTCCCCACAGCTCCACCCACATGCATGCATGCATCTACCACAGGGCATGACCAGGTGCTGCACCACCAGGCGCTGTACTGGAGCTGAGACCATGGAGCTCAGGCCACCTGCCACATCTCTGTCTCTAGCTCTGTCTTCCTGAGCCATACCTGACAGGCTGCAGAGCTGGGGTCAGGCTGTCTGGGGTTGAATCTGCCCCAGCCATTTATTACCTATGCAGTCTGACACAAACCACTGGACCACTGTGGACCTCGGTTTCCTCATCTGTACAGTGAGGGGACAAAATGGCCTACCCCTCAGTGTTGCTGTGAGAGCTACATGTATACACATTCAGTGCTCAGAACAGGAATGACAACAGTAAGTACTCAATACATAATTTACCATATTGGCATCATCCTCAGCATGACTCCAACTATTCCTGACAAGAGGACAGTGGGGACAACTCCAGCCTGGACACTGCCAGGACTGCAGCCCATGGGCTCATCTGTCCTCTGCGGCATTGTCCCTGTGCACGCAATTCCCCGTGGGGACGTTCACATCCTACAACATATCACTCACGGAGCCGTACTTCACAGCAACTATGCAACTCGCCGCACAGAAGCCTGAAATGAGAAGGTGGGTGTGGGAGCAAAGTGAGCTTCTCAGAGAGTGAGAGGCAGGCCTGGGTCCCAGGGTCGGGAGGGCGAGGTCAGCATGGCCCTGTGTCCCATCTGAGCAGTGCCTGGCCTGGGTGCAGCTCTGGGCGTGCCTGTACTATCCGGCCTTGACCAGGCCAGGGCAGCACCAGGACACCATCTAGTGCAACAGGCCCACGCACTTCGGTCCCAGAACCCCACATGCTGCTCAGGATTATCGAGGACCCCAAAGAACTTTGGTTTATGTGGATGACATCCACCAATATCTACACCACTCAAAATTAAAACAGAAATCTTACAAATCTTTGTAAAAATATTAATACATTCTGAAATAATAATAAATCCATTGCTGTTAACATAAATAACACGTTTCTATAAAAAATAACTTTGTTTTCCAAAACATGCAGCTCAGTGGACAGTGGTACTGCCTGCACTCATGCTGGTCCCCAGGCAGGCTCTAGGGATGGCCAGATTCTGCCCTTCCTCTGGTGCGAGCTGCCGCAGCACACTACTCTTGAGGCATATGAAGAAATCCAGGCCCGCACAGGGATGCAGTTGACACAAGGAGGACCTCGGGAACCCATGAAAGGAACTCAGGGACCACACTTTCCGTGGGTCTCTCAGGCCTCACATTCCGGGTGCCTGCCCAAAGTCGCCACTGGGCCTCCCTCTGCTTTCTTGATGCCATCAAAAAGCACGAGACACAGGAGAACACGAGAAAAAGCAAATCACTGTCAAGTAACAAGACAATCAACAGAGCCAGATTAACACATCAGAACTATCAGGGAGTTCAAAATAACTATGACTGATACGTGAAAGGCTCCAGTGCAAAAAATACACAAAATGCACAGTGGGGAACTTCAGCAGAAAAATGAAAACTACCAGAAAGAGGCAAATGGAAATGCACAGCTAAAGGCACTGTCTATGAACCAGGAAACAGGCTCTCACAAGACCCGAAGCTGCTGGCACCTTTATCTGAGACTCCCTAGCCTGCAGAAGTGTCACAAATTACTTTCTCTTGTTCAGGAGCCACCCAGGCTCCTGCCCCACCCCACTGCTTCCTCCTGGCAGCTTTCCCTGCTCTCATCCCTTGCCACCTTCTCTAGGCCATCTCCCATCCTGCTCCCCAGCACCTCCTAGGTCTTCCCTCCCTCACCTTTCTGCATCTGAGTGCCTCCCTCCTTCTTTGGGTGTCAGGGGAAGAAGAGGGTGACGACAGGCCTCCCAGGACTAGGATGCAGGCACAGCACCATGCTCTAACCAACTGAGCTAACCAGCCAGCCCATGTGGTCAAGATTTGTGTTTTCTTCCCACCTGGAATATAATTCCCCTACTCCCTGGCTCAAGCTTCCCGGCATCTTTAACTTCCACACCTGCATCTCTTACCGTGTTCTCACTGCCTTGGGTGTCCAGTTTAATCATTCATCAAAACCTGCTGGGTGCCCACCCTGTTCTAGATGCTGGGCTGGGCACTCAGGACACAAGGGTAACCAAGGCAGAAATGCCTATGCCCCAGGGAGACATAGGTGTGTGTGGGAGACAAACACAAGAGTACAAGGTCATTCCAAGCAGAAGGCTCAGCATCAACACACATGCAGGTGAGAAAAGGCATGGCGTGTGCAGGAAAGAAGGACTTTGGCACTACTGGGGCACGTGAAGCAAGGACTGGAAGATGTGGCTGGAGCTAGATCCGGGCTTTCACCCTGGGGGTATAGTAAGTTCGAATCCCAGTCTCTGTCTCACAGACTGTAAAGACAGAATGGAAAACCTGCAGGTAAGTGGCAATGACAAAACAGGAAGCACTGGGAAGGAAACGAGAGGAACCTGAGAC